CAGGGGGGACGCAGCCTCAGGCCTCTGCTTTCTGAGCATTTCCTCAGTGGAGTGTGCAGAGGGTGGGACCCCCCCTCAGTGGACTGTGAGAGGGTAGGACCTCCTCAGTGAGGTGCAGAGGGTGACCTCATCATTACAGTGAGTGTGCAGAGGGTAGGACCTCCTCAGTGAGTGTGCAGAGGGTAGGACCTCAGGGAGTGTGCAGAGGGTAGGACCTCCTCAGTGGAGTGTGAGAGGGTGGGACCTCCTCTGGAGTGTCGAGGGTGGAGTGGCAGAGGGTAGGACTCCTCAGGAGTGCAGATCCTCCTCAGTGAGTGTGCAGAGGGTGGGACCTCCTCAGTGAGTGTGCAGAGGGTAGGACCTCCTCAGTGAGTGTGCAGAGGGTAGGACCTCCTCAGTGGAGTGTGCAGAGGGTAGGACCTCCTCAGTGGAGTGTGCAGAGGGTAGGACCTCCTCAGTGAGTGTGCAGAGGGTAGGACCTCCTCAGTGAGTGTGCAGAGGGTGGAACCCTCATGAGGGTGCAAGGGTAGACCTCTCAGTGGAGTGTGCAGAGGGTAGGACCTCCTCAGTGAGTGTGCAGAAGGGTGAACCTCCTCAGTGAGTGTGCAGAGGGTGGGACCCCCTCAGTGGAGTGTGCAGAGGGTAGGACCTCCTCAGTGAGTGTGCAGAGGGTAGAACCTCCTCAGTGAGTGTGCAGAGGGTGGGACCCCCCTCAGTGGAGTGTGTAGAGGGTAGGACCCCCTCAGTGGCGTGTGCAGAGGGTGGGACCCCCCTCAGTGGAGTGTGCAGAGGGTAGGACCCCCTCAGTGGCGTGTGCAGAGGGTGGGACCCCCCCTCAATGGAGTGTGCAGAGGGTGGGACCCCCCCTCAATGGAGTGCGCAGAGGGTGGGACCCCCCTCAGTGAGTGTGCAAAGGGTAGGACCCCCCTCAGTGAGTGTGCAAAGGGTAGGACCCCCCTCAGTGAGTGTGCAGAGGGTGGGACCCCCTCAGTGGCGTGTGCAGAGGGTAGGACCCCGCTCAGTGAGTGTGCAAAGGGTAGGACCCCCCTCAGTGAGTGTGCAGAGGGTGGGACCCGGATGAGGTCCCCACCAGCTTTGACCTGCCTCCCATGTTGAGACTGCTCTGTGGCCAGTCTGGGTCAAGCAGTGGCTCCTTGTCATCTGGGTCCTACTCTGTCTGCAGGAGAAGGGAGGCTTGGAAACCGGGGGTTGGATCTGCATGACAGTACGTGGCTCTGGAAGAAGTCTCCCTGGCCTGTGCGTGCCACAACCTATATTTTAACCAGACATTTAATCTCAAATGTTCCCTAGACATGTTGTCCAACCATTTTATGGCGTCGCAGAACAGGCACACTTCATTTCATTTCTATATAGTCTATCCCCTGATTTTTGGAGAACCAAGAACATCCTTTTTCTTCTGAAATGATGGAGTTACTAGGTGGTGGTGGCTGAGTCCTTTTGTAACGTTCTCATGTGGCCAAATGAAAAACGGGCAGCCCCCTGTGCACGCCTTAGCTTTATTTTTTTTAAAGGCATCTTCTTGCTCCATGAACTGTAACGTTTGGTCTAGAGTGAGTCAGCGTTCTTAGGGCCCACAGATCAGAGGGAGGCGACGGCACACATTGTTCGGTAGCCATCTGAGCTCGCTCTGATTTGTTACAGAAAGAAAAAAACCTGATGCTGGAGGAGAAGATCACCACCCTCCAGCAGGAGAACGAGGACCTCCACGTCCGAGGCCGCAACCATGCGGTTGTGTCCAGGTAGCTGTTCCCCGGCCTCCACTCCTCTCCCCTTGTTGCCAAAACCTCCAGTGGCGAGTCTCAGAGAAGCCCAGGGGATGGGCTGACAGGTGGGCCCAGGCCTATCGGGGAATGTGGCTCCTCCTTCCTTGGGAGCCAGTATCCCTGGGGACCAACTCTGCCTGGAAACCTAAATCAAAGGCCCTGATTAGTATCCGTTTGTCCCCATCCTGGCTGAGTGGGCTTCATGGGAAGCCCAACCTGAGACTAGCTCAGGAGGCCCAAAGAATGAATGAATGTACGTGAATGAATCAGATCTAAGAGCTTAGTAAATCAGAGCTGATATCATGTCAGACATAATTTGATGAATACGTATCATCTATCCTCCTCATTACTCTAAGAGCTGGGTCCCATTATTCTCATTCCCATTTTACAAATGAGGGAACTGAAATTTGACAAGAGTAAATAACTTGTCCAAGGAGACACAGCTAAGGGTTGGGGTAGATTTGAACCCAGAGCTGTCTGCCTGTGAGGGCCACGCTCCTTGGTCAACAGATCAAGTAACCTCTCGCATGCGAGGGGGCCTGATGGGGCGGGGGGGACCCTGGGACAAGCGGTGACCCGTCTATGGAAGAGGTCCTAGAGGAATGGGTTGGTCTCTGCCGCCACTGGAGACCCTGAGGGGCAACCCGGGCCTCTGTCTGCACCCACAGGCAGCTCTCAGAGGACCTGCTGCTCGCCCACAAGGCCCTGGAGAAGGAGTCGCAGCTGAGGCGACAGCTGCAGCAGGAGAAGGAGGAGCTGCTGTACCGAGTCCTCGGGGCTGACGCCTCCCCCGCCTTCCCTCTGGCCTCCGTCACGCCCACTGAGGTCTCCTTCCTGGCCACATAGGCTCAGGGCCTGGCCACCATGCCGCCTGTGTCACCGCTCCTTTTTCAGGACCTTCCGAGGAGACGGCAGGAGCCTCTCGTTCTGTCCCCAGGAGGGACGAGGGCAGGAGAGAGATGGGAGCCAGGGTGTGTGCCCGGTGAGCCGCGGGGCTTGGGCCACGTAGACTCACCCACGGGGCGTTAGAGGCCCCAGGAAGCCTTCCCTCAAGTTGGCCCAGGGAACAAGCAAGAGGAGCCCTTCCGGCCCTCCCCCCCTTTCTCTGTTCAAATCAGGGAGTTTTGAGGCTTTTCCCAGGGGAAGCCTGTGCCGCTTTGAGCATCGGACAAAGAGGACACAACCTCCCGGTCTTAACTTGTGAGCTTTGCTGCCAGCTCATCAACCTACCCCTAGATGTCCGCACTTCTGCTCTGGCCTTCTCTCAGCCTCAGTTTACCGCTCCTCTAAAACGGATGGGGGAACTGAGCAAATGACTCTTACGTCACGACAGTGTCCCGTTCTAGGATTGTCTGAAGGTCAGATAGGGACTTCGGGACAGGGGAGGAAGTGGGCCAAACCCTACGATTCACCTGGGAAAGGGAGCATCTGGGAGGGGGTCAATGGAGGCCCTTAGGCTGGCAGTGCCAGGGGCCACCCAGCCAAGGCAGGGTCTGGGCAGGGCATCAGACATGCCACTGCTCCTGCTCCCAGAGTCTGGTCAACCCAGGGCGTATGGCCAGAGCTCCTCCTTGACCAGGCAAAGCTCACTCCTCAGCCCTCCGGGTCCTCAGTCTCAGTGCCATGAGGGCACGGGGCCCACCTGGTGCATCTGAATCACTCCACAGCCAATGCTGGAACCTCCTCTCTGTCCAGATGAGGAAACCCAGGTGGGGAGTGGGGCTCACGGAGCCAGGACAGGGGCCTCATCTACCATTCAGGTCTCATCGTGTGCTTTTTTTTTCTCCCCAGGCTCTGGGAAGATCAAATCTGTGACAGTCTTTCTCCTCCTTCCTCTCTCTGGCCCCCACCCACTCCAGTCTCTCTTTTACTCCTGCTCGCACCTTAACTCCTTCTACCACCCCTGACCCCAGGCCCCTAGCACCTGGCCCTCCGCTTCCCCACCAGTGCAAAGGGGTGGCTGGAGCAACTCACCCAGGCAGGCCAGTCTGGCCCTCCTATCTGTGGATTTAAGATTCTTCTCAGGAAGCTTCCGGTCAGCAGGAGGCTATAATAACAACCTTCCTTGCTTAGAGCATTTTAATTAAATGCTTTCCGATACACCTCCCACTCTGATCTGCATAAAATATTGAAGCAGGTTCTTACCTCTCTTCAACATCAAAGCAGACAGATCACAGGAGCCTGAGAGCCTTGCCTGAGGCCCCCAGCGCCAGCCCCCAGCCCTGGGCCAGCTCGTAGGAAAAGTTAGTCCACTAGAACTAAGGTTTCCCTCCATCGTCCCAGCTGCCTTCTTCATTCATTTCTAGTTCGGGGGGTTCTGCAGGGCTAGGGGAGTCCAGCGGTGGGCAGATGGGTTATCCAGGAGCCTTGGGGCAGCTCTGGAGTGACTTACACGCGGACTTCTTCACGTAACTTTCCCCAAAGCCTGTCTGGGATACACTAGTTCATTGGACACAACCAAGAAAAGAAGTAGTGGCCAAGTAATTTGAGCAACTCTAGGTTCAATCCGATGAAGCAGATCTGCCAGCTGCAGGCCTTCTCAGAACCTTTAATATGCTAACAGACATTTCAGAGTCCCAGGGAAGAAGCAAAGCGTTTCCTAAACTTCTCTGACTGCGTTCAGAGCGCTTCCAGCCGCAGAATGCCCTTTGGAAAGCCTGTTTCCATGGGCGGGGCGGGGCTGGAAAGGGGGCAGGTTGTGGGGAGCAGGGTTTCCCTGTGTAGCCTGTGGTGCCTGAAGGAGATAAACTGTGGTCTTAGCCTCACCCTGGGGCAGACAAGCTATGGAAACCAAATAGAAACACAATAGTATTCTCTTGGCCTCTGTGTTTTCCTGGGAGCGGGAAGAGGTGGATCCTGCTGATGACCTCTGCCAGGAGCAGGCATCTGTGAGGAATAATCCTGGGGCCTGGGTGGCTCAGCAGGGTCTAGGCTTCCTCCCAGGGTGCTGGTGCCCCCCTGGCCCTGGCTTTGCCCAGCCCTGCACCTGGGGTTGGAATGGAGCTGGCTTTCAGAGCAGGTCAGGGCAGGGCATGAGGCAGTGAGCGTGAAGTGAGGGGTGAAAGTAGAGATGGGAGAGTGTAAGGGGTGAAGGCCAAGGTTCTTTCTTCCCAAGGGGGGGCACCTCCTTGGCATAAAAAACACTGAAGTTCACACAATTACCTACCCCTGCTTCTGCCCACTGCTCATACGCAGATGCCTGCAGTCAGGGAGGGACTAGGAAGGGGCAGGGGAGACTGGAGGGCTCCGGGTCACATGGACACGGGTGGTGGCCATCCCAGTGCCCTGAAGGTTGGTGGCCCGGCAGGTGTAGACGCCAGCGTCCCCAGCCCGGGCCTCTTCCACATACAGGGTGCTCCCTGCCTCCTGCTGAGCCTGGCCCTCCCTGTGGACCACGTCAGCCCGCTCACTGACGTAGGGGGGTCGGCCCATCTGTAGGAAAGAGATAACCATCTGTCAGTTTCTCCCAGTGCCATCTCTCACTCAGGCCCCAGCAGGTAAGAGGTATCACATATCCTTCTGGGGAAGGGGTAGTGACTTGCCCAAGACCACAGCTCAGTGTCAGAGCCCCCGAAAGGCCAGGTTCTTTGTGGAAAATGTGAAGCTTGTCAAGTCCCTGGAGTGCAGCTAGGGCCTCCTCCCCCCTCACGGATACTCAGGAGGTAACAGGCGGAGCAGCACCTCTCTGGGTGGGTGGGCAGCTCTCTGGTTCTGCAGGGATGTCAATGGCTACTCCCTCCCCGAAGAGGGGAAGTGGGGACTCATTATCAAAATTGCCTGGGAAACACTGAGTCAAGCCAAGTTAAACTGGGGAGATGCAGACCACTGTGTCTGTCATGTGTGCAGGTGGGTTTTGAATCTCCAAAGTGGGTGATGGTTATAAGAGGCAGTGTTCTCCTAAGAACACTCCTTTTCAAGGAGAAAATGTTTGGGGAGATGCTGGCAGAGGGAAACCATGGTCTCCCAACCATCTGCATGTCCTTTTTCTCTTATTGGGTCTCAGCTTGCACTTTTGACAAGTGGGAGAATGACACCCCGCCCCGCCCCTCCCTTCCACCCCACCCCCCCTACACACACTATATCTATGTCCTAAAACCTCTGGGGACAGGGCTCACTCACCTTCATCACATTTTTTTCTGGGTCCAGCCCTCCCTCCAAGTCAAATCCCAGCTCTTCCAGGAAGCCCTTTTAAATGTTCCTAAAGTGACATCTCCATCATGGCAGAGTGACAAGACTCCTTTGTTTCTCCCCTTGAATTTACAACAAGTTGGATATGTGTAACTCAGAGGATCCCTAGCTCAACACACAAACAGCCTGAAAGATCCACGCATTGGGGCATCTGAAGGTGGGTGCATTGGAATGAGAAGGGGAGAGGGAACAGGGAAGGACAGGGATGGTGGCAACAGATGTGGTTTGCTGCCTACTGCAACTCCAGCAAGCAAGGTCCTGGTGAAAAAGTGGAGCTGCAGCCCTCACAGTAGGGCCTGGAGTGTAAGAGGGGCAGATGTGAGATCATGAACTTGCCTTTCTGCCCCACTCATCTCAGCAGAGCCTAGTAGAGGCCGTGAGAAGCCTCCAAAACCACAGCAGGGTCAGTGGCCACTAGTGTGTGTGTTTGGGGGGAGGTGGGGGGGAGGGGAGTGGCTCTGGGAGCTCATGAAAGCCTTTCTCCACCACCCACCACATCCCCCCACCACAATGGTCATGTCATGTAACGGAGGCGAACTGGTCACAGAGGGGAATCCCAGTGGGTTTGCAGCGTTTTCCTCAACCTTAATGATGCTACTCCACCACTAGCCCAGAGGTGCTAATGGTGCAGGTAAGAGAACACAAAAACTTGTGCTATACCACCATCTACTGGGAAACAAAAGAAAGTACCTACCTATTACGTGCTGAAGTGAGAGCAGAACAGTATCTAAACAAGCGTTCACCGCCTCAGATGTGCAGACAGAGAAGCAATCCATCAAACACCATGAACAACCAAGGTAACATGCACAGAAAGAAAATGAAAAGTCTCCAAATTCAAAGTCATGGAAGACTGTGACTTAAATGACAGAATTCAAGATTGTAGTGACAAGGAAACTCGATGGTGTACAAGAAAACTCAGAAAGGCAGTTGTATGAGCTCAGGAATAAAATTAATAAAAAGGAGTACTTTACCAAATAGATTGAAACTACAAAAAAGAACCAAACAGAAATTCTGGAGTTGAGTAAATAAATGAGATGAGGAATGTATTAGAGAGCATTGGAAATAGAGCAGACCAGATGGAAGAGAGAATTAGTAAGCGTGAAGATAGAATCTAGGAATAACCCAGGAGGAAGAAGAGAGGGTTTTTGTTTTTTTTTAATGAAAGCACCCTACAAGAACTGATCACATTAGGAAGAGCAACCTAGGGATAATACGTGTAATAGAAGAAAGGAAGCCTGTTCAATGAAATAATTGATGAGAACTTCCCAACCTATGGAAAGAACTAGAATTTAAAATTGAGGGAGCTAATTGAACATATAATTATACCAACACAAAAAGATCTTCTCTAAGACATCCTATATTTAAGCTGTCAAAAATTAGTGACAAAAGGCAGCCAGGGAAACTATAATAATGAAATCGTAATATGCTAATTAGACCAGACGTCCTTTTGGATGAAGCCGGGGCTGTGAGGGAAGCCTGGGTCCCGGGTGTCAGAAGGAAGCCGGTGCCAGCAGCTGGGGGAAGGAAGGCATACTCTTGCACGAATTTTGTGCATCAGGCCTCTAGTAAGACTATAACCTACAATGGAAACCCCATTTGATTATCATCCAATTTTATCAAGAGAAGCATTACAAGACAGGAGGGAAAGGAAGGAAATATTGAAAATAGTGAAAGATGGGAACCATCAGCCAAGGATTTTATCCTTTAGATATGAAGGAGAAATTAAAGCTTTCCCAGGCAAAGAAATGTTGAAAGGAGCCCCTCTATCAGAAACAAAAACACAAAAGTATACAAAACAGACAGAAGCAAGACACTGCTCGACTCCCATTTTTAAGTGATTTGGGCTGGTTGGGCCTCAGCTTAAATGTCACCTCAGAGAAGACATCCTGACCGCTCTATCTTAAATACGCCTGGTCACCTTCCCATTTCATCCTTGATGTAGCTCCTACTGTTCTCCAGATGATGACGTTTGTTCACAGCCCCTTCCCGTTTAAACTGTGAGCTCGCAGAGAGCAGAAGCCCTCTCTTATTGGCTCATCATCATAGTTACAGTACCCAGTACAGTGTCTGGCTTGTGGTGGGTGCTCAATAATTATTGTTGGATAAATTAACAAAGGAGCACATTATACATTTTTATACATTAATCTGAGAAGTAGCTCTATTTGACAGATGAGGACACTGAGGCCCAGAAAAGGGAAGTGACTTGCCCAAGGTCACTCAAATTAGTAGTGTCAGAGTTGGGACTGGGATCCCTGTTCATCAGATTCCTAGTCAAGCAGGGGTTCCACTCTGCTGTGATCGTTCCTGGCCCTCATCCTAACCCTTCACTCCCACACTCCTGCCCCAACACACCACCACCATCACATACACACATATTTTCATCCTCTGCTTACCTTCTGCCCCGGATATTCCCAACGGAAGTCCACAGCAATCGCTGGCTCACTCAGAACCGTGCAGGTCACACTGAAGTTCTCTCCCAGAAGGACCGATGTTGTTGAAGCTTGGATGGTGGGTTTGGGGGACGATGATGGGTCTGCCATGGAGAAGATGGGAGAAATGGGGACAAACATGTTGAATTGATTGTTGCAATGATTGAATGGATGGGTGAAATGGTTAAATTGATAGAGGATGAATGGTTGAGGTGGTTGAGTTGATAGAGGATGTGTGAAGGCTGTAATGAATTGATAGAGGATGAGTAGATGATGGAACAGTTAATCTGATGGACAATGGGTGAATGGAATGGTTGATTGAAGGGAGGATGGATAAATGGAATAATGTGACTTGATTAAGAATAAGTGGGTGGACAGAAAGGCTGAACGGATGCAGCCTTTAGCTGATTGCCTGGCTATTTCTGGACAAGATGGTTGAATACACAGAGTGTTGTGAAAAGGTGGTTGGTGGTTTAGAGCTAATCCACAGATTCCAAACCTGAGGTTCCCAAAGGAGGCATCCCTCCCATATCCTCCCCTGCCATGCCCTGCTCTGCCCTGCCCACCCAGAGACCTAGGCTCACGCACAGTTGATGTAGATCAGCATGTACTTGGTAGAGATTTGTCTCATGCCTCGTAGGCTGGCCAAGCAGAAGAGGGAGCCAGCCAAGGAAGCTCGGGGCCGGTGGATGGTGAAACCCTTCTTCACATCAAAGGAGATGTCGGTCCCATCCACTGGGACCTCCTCTGGGGGGAACTCTCGATGCAGCGTCACCTGGGCCAGGGGGTTGGTCACCTGGCAGGGAAGCAGGGCTGGTTGATGACTGCGTAACTGTACCACCTCATAATAATTCTCTGTGGGGACAAAGAGTTCTTCTGGGTCTGGGAAGGAAGGAGGGAGAGAGAAGAATGAGCTTAGGACAGATGTATTGTTTCCTGATGCTCTACCGTCACTCAGGAGCATAAGTCTCTTGAGAGGATTTGAAATCCCACTTTCCCTGCCCTTCTCTATTCTCCATGTTCTTTCCTCACTGGTAAGATGTTCTGGACTGGGAGCTGAAGACCAGCCTGCTGGTTCAAGCTTTTGTCATTAGCTGGCTGTGCATCTTAAATCCCTCTCTGGTCTTTAGTGTTTTCATTTGTTCAATGTGGGGTTTAGATGGCTTGGTCTCTAAGGGTCCTGAACTTGAAGTTGAGGTTTCTGGTTGGATTCCCAGCCCTGCCACCCTCTCACTGTGGGATCTTAAGCAAATCACGTTCTTCCTCTGAGCCTTGGTTCTTCTTACATGTCAAGTAGGAGCGATTATGGCCTACTTTGCAGAGCTGATAAGAAGCAAATGGGATACTGGATATGAGGCACTTGGGCCTGCGAGAGGCACACATTCATCAAACTCTTTCAAGGTACCTTTAGCAACATAGCCTCAGGCCAGATTCTTGGGTGCACAATGGTGCAATGAGTAGGAATTACCTGGGGACCAGCTTTCTAGAGCAGTGCTGTCCAATAGAACTTTCCGTCAGGATGGAAATGTTCTGTATCCGTGCTGTCCTATGTCACCACTGGCCACGGGCATTTCAAATGTAGCTCGTGCAACTGAGGAGCTGAACTTTAAACTTTATTTCATGTTCATTAATTTAGATTTAAATAGCCACATTGATTTAGTGGCATCTGTATTGGATGAAACTGCTCTAGGGTGAGGCAAATGCAATGGTTAACTTTGGCTGGACATCAGAATCACCTGAAGTGATTTTAAAATAACCAAGTCCTGGGCACCACCCCCAGACCAAGTAAATCAGCACCTTGCTGGGGGCGGGGGAGAGAATCATGTGGTTTAAAGTTCCACAGGTGACCCTAGTGGGCAACCAGACTTGGGGAGCACTGACTGCTGGTTCCCAAATCTTCCCAGTGTTGGCATTCCAGGGCTCCAGGCTTCATCCAGCCTTAATGGGCATGGCGCCCAGAAACCTGTGTTTTTTAAGGTGTTTCTGAGTGACACCGAGTCAGGGTCAAGGACCTCTGGGTTGGGTAATCATTACTGCTACGGTTGGATTTGAGTAAGGGAAACTCAGCGGATTCTAGGGGCGTCATCTGTTTCCTTGGTGGGACAAAGTAGGGCTCCTCAGTTCTCCTTGGAACTAGCCATGGAACCCCAGATCGTCACAGGTAGGATCTTGGAGACTACTCGCGCAATTCCCTCGCTGAACAGGTGGGACCAAGGGGAAAGACTTAGACAGTTAGGTTTGGAGGGTTTTCTGGGACCGCGGTGCTTGGAGACGCTGCTCCAGGGCACCTGTGAAGAAGATGAAGGTCTTCCCCTGGCGGTCCTCGCCCTCGGTGCAGGCGGCATCCTGGCAGTCTCGAGCCCAGCAGCTGTACTCCCCGGTGTCCGCGCCCGTGGAGTTCACCAGCTGTAACCGGCTGTGCTGGCTGAAGTGCTTGGTTCTGAAAGACCGTCGGTGGGGGCAGGAGATGGGGGTGGCTTGGGACACTGAGTGGCAGCATTGGGTTGGTTGACAGTCCTCCTCCCCAACTTCCATCGCTCCACCACCCAGCTCCCCTTCCCCAATGGAGCTGGCCGGGTTTGTATTGGCCCCACCCACCGTTTCTGATTGGCTCGCCTATCCCACACGCAACTTCTCATTGGGACGTCTATCCCCGCTGACCATGCCCACACAGGGCAAGCGGGATCCCCAAACACCTCTGCGCTCCCCGGCTTTCCGCTGGCCCTTGGTTCAGGGCAGCAATTGCCCTCCAAGCGCCTCCACCTGCTAAAGGAGGCAGAGTCCCCGGAGATCTCATGTTAAGAAACTAAACTGAGAAACAGTAGGCAAACCTTCTGAACCCAGTTCTATATCCCAGCCTCCGCCTGGTTTTCTTCTGGAATGGAGTGGGCAGTGCTGGTGGGGCCAACTTTGTCTCTCGTTCTGGCTTCCGGAGGCGGTGCCCCTGACAGAAGGGTGGCCGCCAGCTGGGTTGTCGGCCTCCTTTGCTTTGCCTCTGCCACCTTCCTCCCTACGGACACTATTTGCTGCCCCCAGAACTGACTTCCCAGGATTGTGGGAAGCCACGTGTCCATTCTGTGAAGCCACTCTGCCTCTGATGGGTCTTGCGAGCCCATCTTACTGTTTCCTTTAGGTGCCTGCAGTTGTACAGAATGGGATGCCCAGGGAGGGTCCATCTTAATCCCTATGAAAACGGTGTAAGTGCTTATAAACCGCTGCCCAGCTTCCTCCGAGCCACCCTGGACCCATGCAGGCTGTGGCAGGTGTTCCTCCTCCCCATACCTGAGGCGGCCCTCACCCTCCTCTTCCAGGTACTCAGGCACCCTCCAGTGGACCACCTTTCCCCGGCAGCGCAGCTCCAGGGGCTCCCCAGCCCGCAGGCTCAGAGAGTCCCCCACCTTCTGGAAGTGGCCCCTCCCCAACACCCGGGTCAGGATGGAGGGGGCCGGGGCGCTGGGAGCTGCAGCCTCCACAGGAGTCTTCTTCTGCAGGGGCTGCTGTCTCCGCTCTGACTTGGGTTTTCTCCTGCCGGAGGCTCCTGGGAGGCTCACCCCCTCAGGGCTGGCTGCTTTGCCGCCCTTCTTGTTCTGAGCCTTTGGAGCTCTGCCACGCTCCTGGGTTTCAGCTGCAGGAAGACAGGGTGGGTCTGGGGTCACCGGCCTTCACCATTCGCCTCCAGTTCTGTCCTTTCCTCACCCCAGGAGTTGACTGATCTCAGAGTTCTGTTAGGACCTTCTACACAAGTCATTGTCCCTCTTTAGGGGAAAAATATAAAATACAGACAAACCAAGAAAAATATTAAATTTGCCCCCAAATTTACCATCCAGAGAAAAGCACCATGAATATTTGAAGCACGTTTCCCCAAGGCTATTTGAATGCAAGTATTTTATTTTATTATTATTATTTTTTTGAATGCAAGTATTTTAAACAACTACTTTGTTAAAGATAAAATGGAATAATATAATACATATCTTTAATCTGAATTCTCACTTAGTGATATGTTTTGATTACTATTCCATGGCAAACCAACATTTTAAAAAAAAATTTTATTGATTTTATGAGAGTGAGAGAGAGAAACATCCATGTGAGACCAACATCTATCGGCTGCCTCCTGCACACCCCCTCCCAGAGATCGAGCCTGAAACCTGGGCATGTGCCTAACTGAGAATTGAATCAGCAACTTTCAATGCATGGGATGGCACCCAAATCACTGAGCCACACCAGCCAGGGCTGTACACCAACATTTTTAATGACTTGTATGTGATTTCACGGTAGGGATTTCATGATTTATTTTTTCATTGTTGGGTATTTGGGTTTTTACATTCTTATCCAAAATAAGCAATTCTGCAGTAATCATCTTATACATACACGTTTACTCAGATTGCTTCTTGAGAATGAATTTTTTTAGAAGTGAAACTGCTGGTGAGCTATGCAAGGGAACTTAACACATTTTCTTTTCCAACTTGCCACCAATATTTGAACGCCTTCTTAAGCATGCTCCAAAAGAGGTCGCTTAATCTGCACTTTCATCTGTCTAGTGATAGGGAGTTCAGTATTTAATAATACCAGTAGCTGCCTTTGATAGAGTCTACAGCGTTTCTGGAACAGTACTAGCCCCTTTATATACATTTTTTTAAAAATATATTTTATTGTTTTTCTCTTTTTACAGAGAGAAAAGGAGAGGGATAGAGAGTTAGAAACATCGATGATAGAGAAACATCGATCAGCTGCTTCCTGCACACCCCCTACTGGGGATGTGCACGCAACCAAGGTACATGCCCTTGACCAGAATCGAACCTGGAACCCTTCAGTCCACAGGCCAACGCTCTATCCACTGAGCCAAACCAGTTAGGGCTATATACATTTTCTTCTTTCATTCTCTTAATGACTGCAAAGTACATATTATTCTCTGCGACACACTGGTGTCCTACAGCTTAAATCAATTTGGACACTATCTACGCAAAGAGGACCCCGCATGTTAAGGCCTCAGTCCCACAAGCCTGGCCCTCCCCTCCCACTTCAGAGCTCAGTCTCAAGTCCCATGTTGTCACCTGTGCTTCTGACTGACAGGCTATAAATAGGGGGTCCCACACTCCTCTTCTGGGGTTCGATTTGCTAGAATGACTCATAGGACTCAGGCAAACACGTTTTCCAGTTGATTATAAAAAGAAATGATAAAAGGATACATATAACCACGCAGATGGGGGAAACGCACAAGGCCAGCTATGTGGGAGGAGCACAGGGCTACCGTGGCCTCTTCAGGTGCACACGCTCCCAGCCCCTCCACCTGCTCAGCAGCCCAGAAGTTCTCCCACCCATCATCCTCTTGGGATATTTCTGGAGACTTCCCCACACAGGCGCCATCCATCATTAACTCAATCTCCATCCCTCTCTGCTTCCCACAGGGTGGGGGTGGGACTGACCGTTCCAAGGTTCTTTGGTGTCTCTGGTGGCCTGCCCCATCCTGAAGCTATCCAGCAGCCCTCCAAGAGTCAACTCATTAGGACAAAAGACCCTCCTATCACCCAGGAAATTCCAGGAGAATCAGGAACTCTGATTCAGGAATTGAGGCGGGTCAAAGACCAGGTATTAGAACAAAAGACGCTCTTATGCTCTTATCACTGAGAAAACTGCAGGGGTTTTAGGAGTTCTGTGCCCAGCACTGGAGGCAAAGACCAAAATATAATTTTTCTAATCATTTCACAACAAGGTAAAAGGTCTCCCTGATGTCCCTAATGGGGACATCTATCCTGGAAGCCATGCCCAGAAGGAAAGGGTGTTTCAATAATTTTAAGAAGTTCTGGTAGTTTGGGGGAGCTTTATTCTGAGTCCCTTACCTGGGAAGAGCACTTAACAACAGTTCACAGAGAATTCCTCCCCCACCCTCTACACACACACACACACACACACACACACACACACACGTCCTGGTTTAATCTTAGCCATAGGCCCCAAAGGCCACCCAGGGAGCATCTTACTCCTTTTTACAGGCTGAGAAACAAAGCCTCAGAGAGAACAGCTGGGCTCAACGTGTGAACGAGGTGGCCGAGAACACTGAAGTCTGGCATCTCAACGTGAAGGTTCTCGGAGGCCGTGCCTAGGCCTCTCCAGAGAAGGGTGGCGAGCCTGAGCCGCCTCATGGAACACGGACTTCAGAGCCAGTGGTCTGGGCTCTCCATCTTTGTTCTGCTACAAACTAGCTGTGTGGCCTTGGCCAAGTCACTTGATTTCCCTGAGCCACACTTTCTCCATTTAGAAAATGAGAACAAGAACGCCGGCCTTACAGGACTAGCGGGTACCTCGTTTACGGCTCTTCACTCTATTGTGCTTCCCAGATGTTGCGTTTTCTTCACAACCTCACCAGCAAGAAGATTACCACTCAATGTATTGCTGTACTGGCTTTATTTATGGTGGTCTGTGCAATAACTCCAAGGTATGCCTGTATTACATATATTAAACCAGAATATATCTGGCTGAAGGCTGGGTTTGGGTGGCTCCCAGAGCTGGAGCTGTCCTGGCAGACCCGACAGGGCCCACCACAAGCCCTGACGACAGGGGGCTGCAAACAAATCCCAGGACTGAGGGCTGTGGGACCACGTTGGGAGGGGCCCTCTGGGAGCCGTCACACGATGTCTACAGCTTTGGAGCGTCTGGGCTTGCCATGGCAACAGGTCACTTAGGCAAACTGCAGGAAGATGTCAAGTTCTATTCCAGCATCTGATGATGATGATAATGGTCATAACCAATTGTTGGGCCCCTAGGCACTGTGCCGAGTGCTCTCTGTGCGTTATCTTATCTAACACCCACAAAGCCTGCAGATGAGGAAACGAGGGTCCCATGGTTTGCCCAGGGATTCTATCTGATGCTACCACATTGTATTATTCATCTTCCTATGTCTAGGTCTCCGTTTTTGCATTTATAAAACAAAGAGGTTGGACTAAACCAGAGGTTTTCAAGTTTAAGAGCAAACCAATCAGTAGGTAGAGTCTAGATAGCAGAACCCTCTCTTGGAATATTGAAAGGCCAGTGATAGCCCTAGCTGGTTTGGCTCAGTGCATAGAGTGTCGGCCTGCGGATTCAAATCCAGTCAAGAGCATATGACCGGTTGTGGGCTCGATCTCCATTAGGGAGCGTGCAGGAGACAGCCGATCAATGATTCTCTCTCATCATTGATGTTTGTATCTCTCTCTCCCTCTCCCTTCCTCTCTAAAATCAATATATATATATTGAAGAAAAGAAAGGCCAATGATAAAGCATAATAATAGGGTTGTTCTGGTAGAAGGGAGTGGAGTTTGGAAACCCACCCATCCAGCTTTTCAACCACTGTTTCCGCCCTCTTTCTCCCACCACAAGGCAGGCAGTGGGTCAACAGAATGGCTTCCTTAGGGTATAGCTTTATAAAACCTCGTCTACTAGTAGATGACTCTCAAGGAGCCTTCTCAGTGCCCTTGTTCTAAATGTCTGAGATCATCTCACCTCCAGAATCCCCCCTCACCCCCCAACTCCTCCTCCTTCAAATAACCCTCCAATATCGACCATCAACCCTTTGCTAACCTGCTCCTTGGTTACCAGGAGGATGCCTGTCCCTTCCCTTCCATCTGAAACTCCCTACATAACATCTGATAGCACCACGAGGGGAGATTGCCAGTGGCCAGACAGCATCTGGAAGAGGAGGTCTGGGATGACAGCATCTCTCCAAATCCTGTGCCAAACCCAGCTCTTCTCTTGCAGAGATTATTCCAGTCCCACTCTTCCGGGGACGCTGGGAGTGGCGAGATGGAGGAAGAGTTTCCCTGGGGCCTCCGCCTCCCCTGAGGATCTGTCTTCTATTAGGTTCTGGGCTAGAATCTTTCAGGCTGTGCCCCTGATGGAGCCCTCCAACTGCTGCTGTTTGTGAGCAAAATATAGACTCTTAGAGTCGAAGAACCTAGAAACAATCACTCCGACTTTTACAATTATATTATCTTGGATTGGCCAGGTTTGATCAGGGGTCTTTGAAGTTAAAATAACATTGCTACCACTTGTTGAGTATTTACAAGCGAGGCTCCAGGCCAAACGTTTATATACATTATGTCATTTAATCCTCAAAACCGCTCTATAATTTTAAGATTACTGTTATCCCCACTTTACTCCTGAATAAACTGAGTCTTAGAGACTGTTTTATGAAATCTTGCCAGTGAGAGAGCGGAGGAGCCGGGATTTGTCCCGTCAGATTTCAGAGCTCCACACGCTAGAACCACCCATGAATCTGTCAGTACTAGACTTAAACGGATAGCCCCTGACTTTCAGATCAGAGAGGCCTGTTGGCTCCGGAAGGTCCCACAGCCCATCCTTGTCACTGCTCAGATGAAGAAGCTGAGCTCCCAGACGTGGCAGGACCCAGCCAAGGTAGCACAGACAGTGAGTGGAGAGCTGAGCCTAGAGCTCAGCCTCCTGACACCAGGGTTCCAGTCTCACTCCCCTGCCCCATGCTGGAACGCGCACTCCTGGGAACGGAAGAGGCAGGAGGGGTCTCAGGACATCCTGGGGGAGTCAAAGTTATTGGCGGAGAAGGAAGGAGAGGTCCATACCTGAAAGGACACAGATGAACAGGCAACAGGACAAGAAGCAGAGGGTCCTGAGGTCCATGGTGAGCGACCTGGAGCCAATGTGGCTGTAGAAGCTGCAAGGAACAGACTGTTGGGGCTGGCGGGGTGTGAGCAGGGGAAGTAGTAGCAAGGGACCCCTGGGAATGGGAGGGGAAAGGACCTGATTTCAAAGGCAAATCGAAGTCTCCAAACAAAATTCCTTCCTCTGGGCTCCCCCTTGCCAAGGTGAATGGAGCTATTCAGAGCCCTGCTCAGGAAAAAACAGTCCTGCCGCCAGGAGATGAGGGTCCCCAAGGCCAGACAGGCGGAGCTGGGAGGCAGCTGGAGGGGCCATGAAGGTCACGGGAGGGCCATGGAGGAAGAGGACAGGAAGATTTGAGGACAACATAGGTGAGTATGGATTGATGGGAGGTGGAGCTTGAACTGGACTTAAAGCAGGGCTTGGCGACTGTCCCTGGGCCACATCTGTTGGCCACTGGCTTTTGCATAGCCTGTGAGCTAAGAATGGTTTTAATATTTTTAAATGGTAAAAAAAAAAAAAAAATGGTGACACATGAAAATTATAGGAAATTCAAATCTCAGTGTCCAAAAATAAAGTTGTATTGGAACATGGCCACACTCACGCTCACGCGTACTGTCTGGGCTGCTTTTGCCCCACGACAGCAGAATGGAGCATTAGTGGCAGTGACATGGGGCCCACAGAGCCCAAATCTTTACTGCCTGTGCCTCTGCCACAGAGGTTTGTTAACCTTGCTCTAAAGACTGGTATTTCTAAAAAAATAACTTTACTTAAGTAAATAATCTATACTAATAAAAGGCTAACATGCTAATTGGACCGGACGTCTTCCAGATGTCCTTCCTGACAAAGCCACTGCGTCTGCGAGGGCTGAGGGCCGGCAGCTCAGGAGAGGCCACAGCCCGGGCCAGTCCAGCGCTGTGGCTCCTTCCGCAGAGGCAGCGGGAGAGGGGGCTGCTCAGTCTCAGCCCCAGTGTTGCCCCTTCCGGAGAGGCAGTCACAGAGGCAGCAGCACAGCCCGGTCGCCTCGCCTCCTCAGAGGCTGGACAGGGTGCGATATGCTGTGCCTCAACCTCCCATAGCCCCTCCCCTAGCCGGCCTGGCCCCAGATCACCCACCACCCACCAGTGGTCAGGGGTAGGGCCAGCGCTAAGTAGCAAGGGCTGAGGGCAGGCAGAAGCAGCAGGGTACTGGGGTGGTGCCTTCCCCCGATCTACCCGGTCGCCTCCCGCAGAGGGAGGCCAGACTGCTGCTTAGGCCCGCTCCCAGCATGAAGGTCAGAAACAGGGATGTAAGTCTGAGCCCCAGATGGAGGTATAGGTCCAGGGAGGGAGGTCTTGGCACTGGACGGCGGTCTGGGGCAGAGAGGAGGTCTGGGTCAGAGGCTGGACCTCTGGGTCAGGGAATGGTGATCCAGACTACTGTGGATGTCTGGACCCCGGGTTAGAGGACTGGGCCCTGGGATGGCCTTCTGTGCCCTGGCCTGAAGGTCTGGGACCCGGATGTATGTCATAGCCCTGGGAAGGTGGTTAGGGCCTTGGAGGGAGGTCTGGTATCTGGAGGGAGGTCTGGCCTGTGGGCTGGATCTGGGTTATGGACTTGTGGTCTGGACTACGAATAAAGATCTGACCCCCTGATACAAGAATAGATTCTGTGTTTGGGGTCTGGGACCCAGATGTAGGTCTGATGATGGGATGTAGGTTTGGGTCATGGGAGGGAGGTTCCGGCCCTGGAGAGAGATGTGGGCCCTGGAGGGAGGTCTCACTCACGGTCTAAACCTCTGGATCATGGTATGGTGGTCTGGACTACTGTGAATGTCTGGACCCAGATAAAGGACTAGATACTGTGTTCGAGGTCTGGGCCCCTGAATGGACTTCTGGGCCCCAGCCTGACAGACAGAGACCCGGATGTAGGACTAAGCTCTGGATGTAGGTCAGGGTCCTAGGAGGGCAGTGAGGGCCCCCGAGGGAAGTCTGGGCCCTGGGCTGAAAACTGGTTCACGGTCTAAACCTCTGGATCATGGTATGGTGGTCTGGACTACTGTGAATGTCTGCACCCAGACTAAGAACTAGATACTGGGTTCCAGGTCCGGCCCCCAGGATGGACTTCAGGGCCCCACCCTGACAGTGAGAGACCCGGATGTAGGTCTGATACCCAGATTAAGTTTGAGTCATGGGAGAGAGGCCTGGGCACTGGAGGGCGGTCTGGGCTTCCGTTGAAAGTCTGGGTCATGGACTAAACCTCTGGATCACGGAATGGTGGTCTGGACTACTGTGGATGTCTGGACCCAGATAAAGGACTCGATATTGGGTACCAGGTACGGGTCCCGGAATGGACTTCTGGCCCTGGCCTGACGGTCTGGGACCTGGATGTAGGACTGAGCCCCGGATGTAAGTCAGGGTCTTGGGAAGGCGGTTCGGGCCCCGGAGGGAGGTTTGGGCCCTACAGTGAGGTCTGTCTTACCGTCTATCAGCTGCCTTTTGCACCCCCACCCCCACCCTTACTGGGGATGTACATGCCCTTGACCGGATTCAAACCTGGGATCTTTCAGTATGCAGGCCAATGCTCTATCCACTGAGCCAAACCGGTTAGGGCTGTGTGTAGTACTTTCAAGGGTACTGGGAGCTCAGCCTGTCACCACTTAGAACCCAAGTTCTTGCTGATTGCTCCCCAGGGAGAGGTTTCACAAGCAGAATGTCCAGCTAGTGGACATGAAGACCAGTCCAAGGCCCTGGAGGACGCCGTGTGGTGGCCTAGGCCTAGACCATGTGTTGTTGTAAGCTCTCCGGCACCCTGTTCTTCTCCCTCCCACAGCACGTTCATGGTTTAAGTTTGTGATTACGTCATGAATGCCCATATCTGGCTCTCTAGGGTGTGAGCTCCGTGAAAGCTGGGACTAGGTCTGCTTTGTTCACCCTTTATCCCAATCCCTTAGCACAGGGCCTGGCACTTTGTGGGCACTAGCCAAGCATTTGCTGAATGAATGAACGAGTTGGTGTCCAGGCTTTTCTCTAATTCAGGAGCAAGAGCTCCCAAACAGGCAAATAATGGAGGTGTGGGGAGAGAGGGGGCGGAGCACAAACAGGCCAGGCGACATCATGGAACTGGAAAGGTCACAGGTCACTCCCTTCCCAGGTGTCAGGTCCTCAGGTGGTGGGGGGTGGGGAGTATCTGAAATAGTAGACTTTGGGAATAAACACTCATGGAATCTTTGACTCATAGAATTCATGCATTCATTTATGTATCATTCATCAAATATTTATTGAGAGTCTACTTTACCAAGCAATGGAGACACAGGCATTAACCAAATCACACCAATCTCTGATTACCAAGAAGGATTGTGCTAGGATGGGAAAAAGCAGGATTCCAGCAGAGACAAGGGAAGGGGTGGGTAAAGAACACTGGAGAAGAATTAGGAAGGAATTTCTGAAGAAGTGCTATTTAAGGAGAGACCTATAAGAATAGTAAGAGCTAGTCAGGCAAGCTTCTGCCAGGCTTAGAAGATTTCATTCCATGCAAATGAAATAGTTCAATGGAATTTTGAGTGAGTCATGGGATCTTGGAATCCCAGAAAAAAGGATCTCAGAACTACAGAATCTTAATTTCACAGAATCTTGAGACAAGCGCTTACCAACTCTTTAACAGTAAATGGAATCTTAGATTGTGAGAGACTCAGAGTTTCCTCATATAAGAATAAAAGGAATCTGAAGAGATCATGTGTTCCTATCCCTTCTCTCTACCACTGTACAGACAGAACAAAGCAAAATTACAAGGACATGTATAGTCCAGCCAGCATTAGCTCTCACCTCTTATTGTTAATAAAGCAGGGCTCTATCCATTTACTTAATAATAGTAGCAGTGCTTACATTTATTGTCTCATTACTACCTGTTAATGCTGCTAAGTGATTTTATATCATTATATCAGTGGATTCCAACAACAAGCTTGAGAGGCAGATACTCTTCTACTAGCCATGTATTATGACCAAGAAAATAGACTCTCAGAAAAAAAAAACCAAAAAAATAAATAAATAAAGATTAATGGTTATTCACCTAGAATGTGGTGGAACCAGACCCTAGGGCTGTTTTTGCTTATTCGCTTTTTAATTTAAAGACCATGCTCTAAAGCACTGAAGTATGCAGTTGTTTTTCTAATACAGCGGCTTACAGGCCTACCCTTTTCACAGTGACCCAGCCTTCCATAACTTTCCCTTCAGGGGTCAAGGTAATCTCTTGGCTTGACTAGACTGTGGGGTGATGAGCTGCCTAGATGGTCCGTTGTACACGCTCATGTCCGAGAAGCAAAGCATTCTGAAGGCCTACGCCTGCTGTTAAACCTAAAAGAAGTGCTCGTTTATGGGATCCAAGAGACAGCATGGAGTCAGGAAACATGAGTTCCAGCCTGAGCCCAGGCACAAAATAACTATGTTATGCAGGCGCTGTCACGGAGCCTGCCTGGTCCCAGTGAGCTCCCACCAGCCAGTGAGTCCATGCATTTTAGATGGGATGACAGTGCCTGCTCTGTCTACCTCCGTTGTGAAGGAATAACCGATCCAAACATGCTTTGTGACCTAAATAGAGGTAAGGTTCAATTGTTTTCCTTCTACTGGTGAGTGAGGTTTCCGCTCAACAGAAAGCAAGTTAGCAATTTGTATCAGAAGCCTCAAAAGCTATTCATTACTCTTTTACCTGGAATTCAAGGTTTGGGAAACCATCTCAAAGCCATGTTGAAAAATTAGAGTCAACCTAAATGTCCAACAATAGGCAATTCGATCAATTATACTATTACCATACAATGGAATTTGATAGTCCTTTTAAATGTTTTGAAGAAGAAGATTTAATCACATAAAAAGTTGTTCACAGCCCTGGCCGGGTGGTTCAGGTAGCTGGAGCGTCATCCCATACCCCAGAAGGTTGTGGGTTCTTCGAGTCCCGGTCAGGGAAGATACCTAAGTTGGGGGGTTCAATCCCTGGCTGGGCTTGTGCAGGAGGCAACCCATTGACGTTTCTTTCTCACATAGATGTTTCTCTCTCTCCCTTCCTCTCTCTAAACATATCCTCAGGTGAGGATTGAAAAAAAACCCACAAAAACAGGATATTCAGCCCTAACCAGTTTGGTTCAGTGGATAGAGCATTGGCCTGTGGACTCAAGGGTCCCAGGTTTGATTCCGGTCAAGGGCATGTAGTACCTTGGTTGCGGGCACATACCCAGTAGGGAGTGTGCAGGAGGCAGCTGATCGATGTTTCTCTCTCATCGATGTTTCTGACTCTCTCTATCCCTTTCCTTTCCTCTCTGTAAAAAAAAAAAAATCAATAAAATATATTTTTAAAAAGGATATTAACAATAAATGAAGGTTTAGGAAAGGTAAGTTAATATTTGCAATAAGTTTCAATGTTTTGCAAAGTGTAAGTGTGTGGCACATAGTACTCTATAAATGTGGCTATTACTATTATTGTTCTTATTGTTCTATAATAAAAGAACGATGTGTTAATGCAGTGTTAATGTAGGCTATCTTTGGATTGTCGGATCGACTTTACATTTTTTATCTTGTGGCTCTCTATAATGGATAGCTATTATTGTTACAGCAATAAAACAAACAATGGAAGTTATGAGAAAAGTGGTTCTGTGATTGTGAAGCCTGGCTCTCATTTGTGCACTGCTTCTCCATCTCTCCGCCCTCTAAGCGACCTGCCTGCCCAAAGCTAAGCATCTTCATGTTGCTAAGACACTATCGCAGAAAACAATCAGCTCACGCCAAGAGGTTAGAAAGTCCTATGTTCTCTCCCATAGAGAAGTGAAATCCGCAACTCCTATAGAGGAATGGCAGGCACGACGACGACAGGCCTTAAGGCAGTGGTTCTCAACCTTCTGGCCCTTTAAATACAGTTCCTCGTGTTGTGACCCAACCATAAAATTATTTTCGTTGCTACTTCATAACTGTAATGTTGCTACTGTTATGAATCGTCATGTAAATATCTGATATGCAGGATGGTCTTAGGCGACCCCTGTGAAAGGGTCTTTCGAGCGCCAAAGGAGTCGTGACCCACAGGTTGAGAACCGCTGCCTTAAGGGGAGTTGTGGCAGAAGGGGGCTTCCTGGTGGTCACTGGAACAGGGTTCCTTCAAGGTTTGTCAACCCATTTCATCTCATGGCACACAGAAACCAATTACTGAAATTCTGGGGCACACCAAAAAAATTTTTTTGTTCTGATCTGACAAAAAAAAAAAAAAATAGGTATAATTTTGATTCATTCACACCAGACAGCTATTGTGTTGGCTGTTGTCATTTTCTTATTTGACAATCTAAAGGAAAAGAGGTCAGTGTCCCTGACTAAATAGTCAGGTATCTCATGTCTTTAAAAATCTTGTGGCACACGGGTTGAAAATCTGAAAATCCCTGCACTAGAGAACTTAAAGGGAGACCCATCTCCAGAATGCCCAACACGGGCACCCTCTCCTGAGGGAGGCCGACATAACTGGGACTTGCCAGCAGGTGGCAGTATCGGACCATGTCCAGCTTCCCCCGAGGGCAGCCGGGGGGGGGGGGGGGGGGGGGGGGGGGGGGGATCCTGACCTCCTAAATCAGAGAAACTAAAGCCCAGAGAAGGGAGGTGGGGAAGTAGGGAACACCGGTCCATTGTTCTGGCCACGTCGCACGATCTCTTTTACAAACACTCTGGGCCTAGCTCCATGGAGAAAGGTGGTTAGGAGAGGGCCAAAGAGTTGAAGTCATCCTAGTGTTTCTATCCCATGCTTGCCTTCTTCCACCAGCCTTCCTCCCAGTAACATAGG